ACAGACTGCCCTCAATGGTACTGAAAGGTAGAGATCGCCGAAGCAACATCCTTGATGCAGGGTCCGTTGCGTTTGAAAATCCAGGATACGAACAGGAAGGTCAGGTACCGAATCGTGCATGATTTACAAAGTAGAACTAGTGATCACCTTTCGTTCAGGTTCGAGTTCTGTCACCTGAGGGAGCGATCAGAGACCGCGCACGCGAAGCCGACGCTTTCGGCTGGGAACGACCGGAATTGCAGTCAGTGAATGATTCGGAGCACGAGCAGGAAGGTATGCGGTACACTCGTTTCTCCTGAAAGTTCGTCGGCCTCTGCTGATGACATTAACTGTCCCAGCTGTGATTTCCTACTCTGTTTTTGCTCTACCGATGTATTATGTTGTTTCTTTGAATGTGATCGAACAAATTGCTGTCCAATATTTTGATGACCAAATAGCGTATGCCTTATTTTCTAAGCGGTACTTCGTTTTACGGTCGGTTTCAAGGACAATTATCATTTTAACTCTCGTGGTTGATGTAAGCGATATGCGCTGATTTGGTGACGAAACTTTTCTGGCAAGTCTGTTTTATACTGTTGATGAAGAAAGAATTAATATATGCATTTTTGTCCGGGTAAAGTTCTATGCTTACTTCAGTTCATCTGTTTGACTGATGTTCGTATTTTGTCCCGTCAGTCAGTTCTGCCTTGCTAGCTTTTAGACTCTGACACCATTGCGTTGAAATGATCGTTTCATCCACGATGGGCAGAAAGTGACTTTCTGCAATTGAACCATTTGCCATAATTCGTGTTGACATATTGTTTGTACGTAAGTGCCATTCTTTTACTCGTCTTTAGATTAGCCGAAATAGAACCAAACACGCTGTGTACCAAAGTGCTGTCAGATTGACGTCTGTCGTGAGCGAATGGCATGCAAATAAAATGAAATTTACAAGTGGCCGGCGTCAGATGAGATCACAGAATCTTGTAATGAAAAATTTTGGTATTGCTAATGGGCAGAAAATGCGAAACAGGAAAAAATAACAGATTTTGTGATTCATTCTCTGAACAGAGGTTAAGGCGCCATATTCGGTTCACTTCTGTTAAGGAAGTGTTTAAAGTTCTACTAAATACGTGGTTGCGATTATCTTAACTTCCTTTCATAATACTCGGACATAATTAATGATCTTATGACCACATGGGCCGTGGAGCGGAGAAGGAAACTGTTTCTTTTTAATATTATTCTTAATCTCTGGAAGATTTGGAAGCGAACCCTGATTTCTGATCTCAATCAGACGATGCATTTAGAAATCGTACACTGAATTATTGATGCACAATCTCTTCTTTGCTTTCTAACTTAAATCGTTTCCTCTGTTGCTACGGCTGAATTATCATGCAAGTGATGAGTCTTGATAAAATTGTTTTTTTACAGAGTTCTTGCGTTAGAACGATTTTTTCATTCACTGTTCAAAATTTCTTTCTATAAGTGGTATTAGTGACAACTTTTGTTCCTCTACCCGAAGTAATTTGAGCAGAATTCAACTCAGTGGGTATCGTTTAAGAAAAGCATACGTTTTTATGGCTCTTTACTTTTATGTATCTTGAAAAATGTCGGAATATTAACTTATGAAAAAATGAGTGTAAAATTTCCCTACTTCACCATTGTTCTTAAATTCATATCGAACTATGACAATCTGCTGGTAGAATTATCAGCTAAAATTGTTTCTAGTGTCGGCTTTGAAACATCGGACAACATTTAAGGCCAGTGTTGTGTACCTGTCGACTCTACAGTTAATGTATTCATTGCAGAAATCTGGAAGACATGAGATCCACTTTAAATACCCGCCGAACTGGAATGAAACCTAAAATTTAAATGCTTGTCAGTAATTTGATTTGTTTTGATCTGCAGTTCCGTGTCGCAGCTTGACCAGAAACAGAAGTATAACCCATTTCAAAATATTTCATCGGTTCTTTCGCGTTATTATGTAAATAGCCTTATTACTTACAAGACAGGAGTTCAGGCGGGTAAATTCCTTTAACCCATATTCTCTTCAAAATTAATAGATATTCGTCCAAAATAAATTCGTAGGCATGACTTTTAATTTGAAGCTTATGAATATTAATGCATCTACTCTCCTGTTTCTTATCTGGATTTACACAGCAAAACGCACCGTCCCGTAACTCCTAATGGCCTAGGGTAAAATAGCATGAAGCCGTGGCCTCCCTAAACAGCCCCCTAGGCTACTAGAAGCAATGGGACGGTGCGCTACGCCCCGCGAATCTGAAAAGATGACAAATGAATGTTTTCTTGCCGGTAGTGTTGGGAACTAGCAGTTTCCTGTCAATCCCATAGCTTGGATATTTTTTGGTATCAATGCATTTAGATAGGTACTTTTTATTGCATTGATTATGTAATGGAAGGAATCAGCTAACTATCGACTATTGTTGAATTCGGTAGAACAATCGCAATGGTTTTACAACTCAAGGTGACCGACAAATTGTGGTGTACATCAAGTTTTGTTTCGCTACCGTACAACAAGAAGGTGACAAAATTCAAGTCCCTGTGGTTTGGTCAAAGGCAATGTGACACTTCTTAGTTTGACTTCCACGAGCTTAAAACCGCAACATTAGCATCATTATACGTTCATCATTCTACAAGTGTAAATCAAAGCTTGACATCGAAATAGGGACAACAAACCAAGCATGATCTACCCTCTATATTTCCACTACCTTTAGATGCAAAACATTGCAGAGCATGTTCAGGAATTAGCAGCAGTGACATACTTCCTGGTCGTATACTAAGCTATTGAAACAGCAGCGGAATTAAAATATTCATATTAAAATCATTAAAATTTGACCTTTAATTTAAAATCAATGCTTAGATTCCCTGCGAACTCTTTGGAAGAATATTAATTGCTTTTGGCAGTTAACAGTGTCTTGCAAAGAAAGTTTCTTATTGAAATAAATTTATTTTGCGAGTACTAGTTACTCTCGCGGTGCGACAGGTTATGCTAATGATACTTATTTGCAGAATGTGTAAATTTTAACACTATATAATTTTACAGAAAATGAAAATAATTAATGGCTGTCAACTTATGTTCTACTCATTATTTGGCCCTACTCATTACTCATAACTTGCACTGATTTTATACTCCTAACATCTGTCTTTTCTGTTTAGCGCAGTTCAGAATTGGTTCGCATTCAAAACTTTGAACAGCCTTTTATTCCAAGAACATTGAAACAGATCATGATAGATCATAATTGATCGGAGTTCATATGCTTCATCAGCATCATGACACACTTTATTCGTACTTGATCGAAAGCCTGCTGGAAGCCCGTGTGAATTATTTTCGTTAGCATATCAGAACCTTCATTAGCTAAAAGAGGGATCCGCCTTCAGTCTCATAACATCTTTTCATAAAGCTGCATAACATGCGTTATAGCTATCATAAGCTAGATAGTCACCTGACGGTCAACGCAATCTAAAGGCTTAACATGCTCATATAAGACAGGATGACTGTAGGTGTTTAATATCTTGATATTAATATCTGGCATAAAAGTGCCAAAATACCTGTTCTCCGTCAAATTCGCAAATCAACTACTTGCAACCAGTTTCTGGTATAGTTGCACCGAGCTACAGTAGATCGAATTCTATGCTCAAGGCAGTTAGCAGCTATTTAGAATACTCTGAGAATATTCGTTGAACCATGTGGTATTATGCGTTAAGCACGAAACGAATTACCGATGCACAGACACGCAGCCAATACAATCGGTTACATGACAGTGCTCTTCCTCTACACTGCTTCTGTAGGTCACTCTGTCTACATGCATTGCGGATTCGTGTGAACCAGCCAGATGCACCGGTATACCTCACGATCGCAACCAATACTCTTCGCCACCATATTTTTATAAAGTTATCATGGTTTACTTCCTATCATCACACCAGTTCATCATATCTAATGCCAATCGATCATATTTATCATTCTCATTTATAATTCGTGGTTAAAGGCACCAAACGCGGCAGATGTTAAACAGTTTAATTCCAACGTGTTTGACTGTAAAGATCGCAGCATCATCAGAGCTGGACTGAGTAAAAATGACTGCTTGAAAGTATTTATGCTCAAAAAGGGAACATTGCCAATTTCTCAATCTGCTCATCATTTACAGTCATGACGTTGTTACATTGTCATTTTGACCCGAATTTGCGTATCAGTTCTGTGACTGCACGCCAGCTTTCACTGATGACAACAGAAGAGGTACACTCATTGCACATCCAGCTTTTCACTGCCAATATTGCAAAGACCTCTTTATCAGCAGATCTAATTTAAATTGGTCTTTATCTATGACAGACACATTGGCCTGACTGAAAGAATGCCCTTCAGTAATTACTTGCTCGGCAATAGCAAAAATGTCGGCCTGTCCAAGACGGACTCCGTCGTGGGCATTATAATCGCCCATCAGTACGAGAGACTGTTTATTCAGCACTTCAGACAAAGCACACTGCATTTCCTGCACTTTTCATATTCTCCCTCCAAATTGGGAGCATAGACCTGTACCAAAGGTAATCG